TTTGGACTCTTTCCCCCTATTTAATAGTCAAATTACTTTGACTTATTTTTCTTTTATAAAATGAGAGATTTGTTCACTTATCTTCAAGACTCTTGGCTCGTCTAGCTTCTGTCAGATGAATCCCCCCAATAATCTCTTCTAGAGATGGTTATGCAGGCCTTAATGTATGTTGTAGGAGGTGTGTCAGTCACTAGGGGGCGACATGCGCACTAATGATCATCAGCCTCAGATTGAAGCGTGTTTTTATTTATTCATTACTGAGCCTAATCTGCTTCCAACAAGGTCTTTACCTCCAGTCCACAAAGACATTAATACTGTTCTGTCCTTTTTATTTACGCCTCGAGTAATTAACTGGCACTTGAACGGAAGTCAGATTTAATCAGTATTATTGGGTCAGTTTGAAATGGTCTTCATTGTAGGCCTATGGAGACACTTGAAGGATCAATCACCCAACTCTTCAGCATTGATTTGAAGACCTTCAGCATCCAAGTCTCCGTCTTGCCTCTTTGAATGCGCCAAGTATACAAATTTCTCAATTATTTTCCTGTAGATAGAAGATGTGCTTGTGGTTAATCTGCTGGTCTAAATAATTATTCTAACTAGACAGGTGTGTTCTCAATACTTTTTATTTTAGGTCTTGTGAACTCCTGGCTAATAGTGCTGTGAGTGAACCTGCCTGCTGATTATTTGCTGTTATTTTAAACTACTCGAAAATAACAGGTACTTATGTAAAATACAGCTTATGTCTTCATACTTGCAGAAATGATCATGATTATCAGTAGATAGAGCAATACCTGAAAAACCCTGTCCTTTTTGTTTTGTTCAATCCTACATCAGTAATTTAATATTTGTGATATTAATCAGAGTTATTAGTTAACCTAAAACCAAAGTTTGTTGCTTGTATATTTAATATACTTGAGTAGTAATGTTCATGTTCAATTTGATTCACTAAAATAACAAAGTGCAAAAAAAAAAAAAAAAATGAATTGGCTAAATATTAAATTATTTTATTAGTTAAAATAAAATATAACTAATAAAATGACAAACGCACAAAATTAATTATAACTATATTAACTTTAATATTAATGTTACTAACACTAGATTAAACAAATTTTGCTTTTCCGGAGTGAAGTAAAGGTGCTTGCTAAAAAAAAATAAAAATAATGAAACCACCATTTCTGGGTTATTTGGCAACCCAGCGCTGGGTGACTATATATTTTAAATAATACAAATTCAGTCTAAAATCTGTTATATATCTATATATATCTATATATATCTATATATAAAACTGATACCAGTTTTCTTCCCACATATTCCCATTGGCTGCTCTTGCTGCCCCTGTCACATCATAAAACGTTTTTGAGTATTTTATGATTGTAAAAGATTGACTAGTAAAATACTCAAACGTTTTATGACGTGACAGGAGCAGCCAATGGGAATATGTGGGAAGAAAACTGGTATCAGTAGGCTGTTCCAGTTCATTAAATGACTATTATATGGTCATGTTTGAAAAGTTACATCAAAAACTGTCAGACATTTAAGTGTGACTTGATTGCACTGACAATATAGAAATGTGAAAGAGTGATGTTTGCAATAGCATTTTAAACATAAACAACCAAAAGTTGAATGTCTATGTGTGTGTGTGTGTATATAAATATATATATATATATATATATTGTTTTTTTAAAAGAAATTAATACTTTTATTCAGCAAGGATGCATAATATTGATACAAAGTGACAGTAAATTTATAATGTTATGAAAAGATTTATATTTCAAATAATTTTTCACAAAAAAATGAAGCAAAACTGTTTTCAAAAGTGATAATAAAAATAAATGTTTTTGGAGCACTAAATCAACACATTAGTCAAAGCCAAAAGTTTTGGCAGTGACATACATTTTGTTTCACAAAGTTTGATGCTTCAGTTGTGTTGTTTATTCACAGTTATATTATTGTGCAGATGCATTTTGAATAATTGCAAAAAGCTTAATTGCCCCAAAAAATTATCACAAAAATCCAATTTTCACTGTCTTTTGTCCTTGGCACAAAATGACCAGATAATATAATTTCACTAATCATATCATCATCATCCGCACATGAGAGTGTGAACGAGTACTAGTCAGTATCATTTTGATTGAATTATAAGAGCAGACTATAAAGGGAATAAAAGGGAATGAAGAAGTGCTTCCAATCATTGTGATGTTGTGTTAACAATGGTTACTTCCAAAGAAAGATGTGCAGCCATCATTGATTTGCATCAAAATGGCTTCACATGCAAGGCAATTGCTGCAAAGAATTTTGCTCCTGAAAGAACAGATTATCAAGAACTTTAATTAAAAGCGGTTCAACTGCAGTGAAGAAGGCTTCAGGACGTCCCACAGTGTCCAGCAAGCGCCAGGACAGTCTCCTCCTGAGGACTCGACTACAGAATTGTGTCACCACACCAGTGCAGAGCTGCTCAGTATCGTGTGTGTGTGAGAGTGTGAGCATCTGCACGCACAGTGAGGCCAAGAATTTTGGACAACGGCCTGGAGTCAAGAAGGGTAGCAAAGAAGCCACTTCTCTACAAGAAATGCATCAAGGACAGACTGAAGTTCTGTCGGCAACTAAGGATTGGACAGCAGAAAACTGGTTATTTTCTCATATGAAGCCCCCGGAGAAGACTAAATGAACGCTACTATGAGTCGTGTGTCGTGCCAACAGTAAAGCATCCTGAGACCATCCATGTGTGGGGCTGCTTTTCATTCAAGGGAATGGGCTCTCTAACAATTCATGCCAAAAAAAACTCTGCCATGAATAAAGAATGGTAGCAAAACATCCTGCAAGAGCAAGGGTGATCGTGAAGTAGCTCGGAGATCATCACATTGAAAGTTTTGATCCGTGGCCACTGGCCAGGAAGCTCCCCAGATCTTAATCCAATAGATAACCTGTGGTCAATCCTCAAAAGGCAAGTGGACAAGCAGAATCCCACCAATTGTGATCAACTCCAAGCACTAATAAGTCAAGAATGGATCGCCATCAGTCAGGATTTGGCCCAGAAGCTCATGCCAGCGCGAATTGCAGAGGTTATGAAGAAGGGTCAACTTAATATATGTGAGAAAAGAGTCAATATTTACAATGTTTTGAATTTGGCCAATAAAAGCCTTTAAAACTGCTTATGAAAAAAACTTATGAAATGCTTATTGTTTTTCAGCGTAGAATCGTGAAAAAATGATTTACAAATGCAGTAAACTTTCAGAACCACAAAATGTGTCAATGGCAAATCTTTTGGCCATGACTGTAGAATGATTTCTGATGGATCAAATGGCTGCTTTGGCATTACAGTTATTGCATATATTTCACAATATTACTGTTTTTACTGCATGTTTTTAATCCAATTAAAAGCAGCCTTGATGAACATGAGAAAAATTCTTACCAACCCCCCAAATTTTAGTTGTTCATGTAAACCTTTCTTTTTTCTGCTACAATAACAGTTCATTTTTCAAAGATACCAATCATTTATTTTTGAATGTTGCATTTAATATCCAGGTGAATGGGGCATGATGGTTCAGGCATGTTTATTTCTGTCAGGTGGTCATGTTATATGTGTCTTATATGCCCTTTACTCTTCCAAATGGCTTTAACTGAGCTCGTGTCATTACAGGCTGTCAGAGCTCCAGTATAAAGTTCCAGCCTCACCTATTGATCTGTGCCAAACGCTCTCCACACTTAGAATCAGAGTTATGTGTGTGTGTCCCGTAAACCCGTTTTGTGTAAATGTATTTGCAGAGGTTCATAAATTACCTCTTTGCTCGCTCCCCTTTTCTGTTCCTCACATCTGCGTACCCAGGGCTGAAACGGATGAGAAAATCAGGGAACTGGAATGAGGGAATGAAAGTGTGCGGCAGAGAGACTGATGAAGGAGAGAGAGAGGGAGAATGAAATGGGTGTCAAGGGCAATGAAATAGAGAGGAACATTTTCTCTACCTCACCTAACCCCCCAAAAAAGCAACTAAAAAAACAAGAGAAAGATGTTTACGGTCTGTTGTGAAAGATAAAACCAGCTTCTTTCTTGTCTGCTTGATCTGGGGAGGTTTATGAGAGGTGAAGGGAGCTCAAGTAGTCTCCCAGTTCCTCAGGCTCTGCTGTCTTGATGCGGTCTGGCGTCTCCGGCCAGATGAGCCGTGAAAAACGTGGAGTAGACGATGTCATTTCCGAAGAGTCACACTACATGACTGTCAGGAGGAAAAATGGAAGGAGAAATAAATTCGAAAAGTATTGTAGAATGATCTTCTACAGTGGCGCCCACTCAGACATGGAGGAATGACATATTTTTTTTATATATCAAAATTTTCACCAGCTGCTCTCATCCATTTAAATTTTATTTTTATCCCCTTCTGGCAAATCCATACTTTCCTCCAAATTCAGCTCTTGCTGTCATCTTATTTTTCATCTCTCAGTCCCTACGCTCTCCCTCTCTCTCTTTTGTCCTGTCAGCTTGGATTACAATACCCACTTGTAGCATCTCTCTCTCTATTCCTGTTTGTATATCTCTCTTTTCCTTGTCTATCTCTTTCAGTCTTATTGCTTTTCTCAGTCCCCCTCCCACAAGTGTTTGCGCCTTGAATGTTGTGCAGACGCAAGCATTAAACTTAAAGATGCCTCACACAGTTTCTATTACACATTTTCAATGTGATGATAGTCGCCTGCCGGGCACCAAATACAGTAGCCCATCTGTCATCTCTCCCTCTTTTCTCTTTTTCTCACTCTGTGTGTTCCCCTCCTCTCCTCTTTTTCGTGTTTGATTCTTTCCCGTTTCTACGTTCCTGCTTTTACCCACAATTTGCTTCTTGTATCCATCCATCACGCTCTAAGCGGAGAGGAGTGGAGTGTCAACGCACACGGGAGGAGAGGAGAGAAAAGCGAGCGCGAGAGAGGGAAGACTGCTCAGTGTCTCGCGAAGAGCAAGAGCGAACGAGCCCCCCCCCCCCCCCTCTCTCTCTCTCTCCCTCTCTCTCTCTCTCCCTCTCCATACCTCCGTTTGCGTTTTTACATGTGAGTGTACCGCATCTGTAACGGCTCAGCTGTCTTTTGCTTGGATACGGCGAGAAGAGGAGCGGAAGCACCGGACGCGTGATGGTTTGTCTGGATTAGCGCGGGAAGCGCGCGACTGGGATAAGATCGCGCTCACACACTTCGTCGACTCAGGATCAACGACAACATCTCCGGCCCACTCTGACCAGCCTCTCTCTCTCTCTCTCTCTCTCTCTCTCTCTCTCTCTCTCTCTCTCTCTCTCTCTCTCTCTCTCTCTCTCTCTCTCTCTCTCTCTCTCACATACACACACACACACACTCATGGACGAGTGGATGTTGTGTCCTTAGGCTGCACGTGAGGTGCTTAGAATTGCCATTGAATGTCCAGTGACCGTGTGTGCACGTGCATGAATTTGTTATGGGGAATTGGATAGTTTTTAAGCTCTTGTGTAATATTTTTCAATTTCAGGTCAATATAGCTTTATTGGCATGTCTGTAAGTAATACAATGTTGCCAAACTCTTTTGGAAATATCTTTGGAAAACATTACTTTATTTGCTCTGGGCATTTTCAAAACATTTCTTGAACAAGTGGGAGAAAGTTAAAGAGAGAGAGAGATTGATGTAAAATAAGGTAACGGAGAAGGGAGATTGTGTGGAGATCCTGGGATTTGGTGGGGCTGAAGTGATGGAGTGGGTGGAGAGACAGGCGGAGGGAAACCCCTGGGCAGCATCTTCCACTCCATTGCCACCCTCTCACACAGCTTAACTGGAGCAAGATCTGTTCTTCCTCCATGCTCTGTGATGTGTGTGTGTGTGTGATCCTGGTCCAGCCTGATATTTATTTATAGGAGCAGCTCTGACTACTAGTGTTCAATGGACCCTGTATTTTTCTCTGTGTATGTGTCGCTTTCTCTGATTGGACAGGAGACAGTTTGACTATGGTTTCAGGGGGTGTGTGTACCTTTATTTGTCTCTGTTTGAGCATGCGTGTACTTTTTTCTTTCTTCATTCTTTGCTTTCTTTCTCCATCCTTTTTTTTCTAATTCCACAATTTTTCATCTCTTTCACAGTCCTCTCTATTTTTCACTCTCCTTTCTTACATTCCTATCTTTCTTTTTTCTTTCTGTTTTTCATCTTTCGTCTGTGTCTAAAACTGTTACAGTGTCTTTGGTCAGTAGGGTTCGTGTTACATAAATCCCGTCTCTCACTGGTGACTACATTCAGTTTTATCTTTTTTTCATAAAGCCTTACAGTGTCTCTTCATGTTTGTGTCAAACCCGACGCTTCAAGAAAGACACTGTATTTCACAATACATTATTGATGTGTCTGTGAAACTCTAATGAAGTGAAATTAGCCAGAATCAGATGCCAGAAGGTGCCTGGGCTTAAGCTGACAATCACTATGTGCTGATCTACCTGCAGGTGTGAGCGTGTTAGCCATGGACCTGAAGGAGGGCTGTGGAAGCGAGGCCAGTCGTGAGACCGAGAGCGGAGGCATGGGGAGCCTGGGAGGCCCCTCGTCTTGGCAGTCCTTTGCCCACCGAAGCACCCTGCATGGTTTGCGCTTCATCTTCCCCTACTCTTCCTCCCCTTACCGCTCCACTTCGCGCCGTCTGCTCTGGAGCTTGGCCTTGCTGGCCAGCCTAGTCCTACTGGCTCTGGAGAGTACCGAACGGCTGGCCTATTTCCTCTCCTACCCCCACGTCACCAGCGTGGATGCTGTGGTTTCTGGCAGCCTTGTCTTCCCCACCGTCACCGTCTGTAATTTGAACGCCTACCGTTTCTCGCACCTCACGCAGAATGACCTCTACCACGCCGGGGAACTATTGTCCCTGCTGGATGTGCACCTGCAGATCCCCGAGCCGCACCTGGCCGAGCCCCATGTGCTGGCCTTTCTCACGGAGAAATCCAACTTCACTAACTACCGGCCAAAGCCCTTTAGCATGCGGGAGTTCAGTGAACGAGTGGGACACGACCTGAAGGAGATGATGCTCTACTGCCGTTTCCAGGGCCAGGAGTGCAGCCACCAGGACTTCAAAACGGTGAGTGTCTGCAAGATGTTTCTTTCACAAGGTATTTCTTTAAGGGCTCAATAGGCTTGGAAGAGGTGTGTTTCACTGCTGTGGACTAAAGCATTATGGGCTCAGTGTTGTTAGCTCTAAAGATTATCCTTGTTGTTGAGCTGTTTCATAGGTTTGTAAAGAAATGATATTGATTCTTGCTGATGTTGTAGTTCTGGATGCTAAGCTGTGGTGTGAACTGTGAAGAGTTTTACTGCTCTATACTACTCTCGGACTCTGTGTGCGGTTGGAAAAGCTATAGCTTTCATTCTGAAGGTGCAGCTGTTTTCACCTTGACTGTGATACTGTTCTTGTAATATTTATGTAATGTGATGGGCTGATTAATTATGTGTTGAATGTCTAATGTTCCTCTTTCCAAAATACTACAAGGATTCAGAACAGATTCTACCTCAGTAACTCTGATATATATTATGAATTTCTCCAAAAAATATGCTTGTTTAATACTTTTGACTCTGCCTCAACCTGCTGTCACTGTCTACCACCTAATTAAACCACATCCTGAAACAGAATCTTAAAAGCCACTGATTTGAGACTTTCTTCACATGCAGCAACTTAAACAGCCACTCAAGCATGCCCCGTGAATAGTGGTCCTCATGTGAACCTCACGAGATTCACTGACGCTCACATCTCATTCTGTTGTTTACATGTAGCCTGCTAATGATTCTGAATTAAAATATCTTTTTTATGTAGCTATTATCAGCATCTCCCTTGATCCTTCAGCCACATTTTTTTCGCCGAGCTCCTCGCAATGCGTTTTTAGCCACAAATGACGCAAACAAAACTGTTTCAAAATATCTTTGAAAGCATTATATGCTGATTACAAATTGAAGCTGTCAGCTGCTGCATGACTGCGACAACAAGAAATGGTCGGGAGACAGCCATTTGCTTTTACACATCAGAAATGTAATTGACTAGTTGTTGCTCTAAATATTTCAAGAACACTAGGACACTCTAGAATGTTCTCTGACTGGTAAAAATGGTTTTAGTGGTTTACTGGAGTGGAGATGTAAATGCTGGCCGCAGCTGTGTGTGAAGAATGTGTTTTTCTCAACACTGAGGGCTGAGATGATGAGGTTTGATAGCTGGTGTGATACTCAGTTGGAGTGCTGCTATTCTCCTCAGGGGTTGAGGTCTGTTTATCCCCCCTCAGTCGCCACACGTGTGCTCTCAGTGCTTCCAACCGCCCACAAGACCATTATAAACAAACTCGCACACACTCTATGCTTGCTTTCTGTTGCTCTGCTGTCTCTCCTTGTTTTCATTGATGATGTGTTACAGTATGAATCAGTGTTTGCAGCAGACAGGCATTATAGTGTTTTTGTATCTCCTGGTTAAATAGTGCTGTTATAGTATAGATAACTACGCTAAAGGTAGGCTAACTAACAAAAAGGCTACCTACATTGATGTAATTTAAGGGTTCATCAGAATATCAAATTTGCGATATGTAGCAGTATCTCCTACAAAAACTGTGGAACTCAATTAAGGTGGAAGCAGTGGATCAGATAGTTTACTATAAATGCAACTAATGGGACATTTTAATTTACATAACTAAGTTGAAAGTAATGAACCTCTGTATTTAACTTGATATTTCAGTTAAAAAAAAAGATGCAAAATATCATGCGGGGTATTTTTGGCCCCCGAATTGAAGAATTTTTTTTTTCAAACTGGTTAGTTGAAATGAACCGTCAAAACAAACCAATTTGCTAAAATGTATTGGCCTTTCTGCTTAGGAGAGAGATACATTATAGGGGAGTTTGTTTAATGATTGCTTCAGCTAGCTTGTGTTCAATACAGTGTGACTTTTTAGGATAAAGTACCTTGTTACTGTGGGTTTATGACTGCATACTTTTTGATGCCATCATCCAATTAGTATTTTTATGGAAGAGTTATTTATCACACATCACATGACATTTACAGCTCATGTGATTTTTTTTCGTATGATCACACACACTTTCAGGGCTGCCACCAGCTAAGTAAAGGCCATTGAGATGCATGCACTGTAAAAAATGTAATACTTACAAACAATATAAAAATGCAACAGTAAAAACCCTTTAATTGGTTAACTGTATTTTAGTGTCATGCGTTACCCTAATGGTGTTTTTGTCTTTGTATGCATGACCCTGTGTATGTGTATGAGTTGGCTATGTTTTGTTGGACAGGCCACTTACAATGAACAATTTACCATGTGGCTTTCTGTATCTGTGTTATAATGGTTGTCTGTATTTTGAGGTAAAAATCACATTATGATACTTCAAGTACTGGTAAATCGGTAAATAAACATTATTACTATTACTATACAAATTTTAACCATATAATGAAATTGTTATAAGTTGTATAGTCAAGCCGTTAAGATTCATGCTTCTCTTTATGTATCTTCAGAGAGATACAAACATAATATCACATGAGTCAAATGCACATCCTGTCTATATTGCTGAATAATTCTGACTAAGATGCCCTTGACTGGCCGTGTGTTCACACACTGAGAGACAGGACATCAATTGGCTGTGCATGCTGCTTTACTTTGAACAATTGAAAGATAAGTGCTACATGTGTAGGCAGCAGATATCAAAGGCAGGAGTGAGTCTGGCATGGCATGACCTGATAAAATTCTGCACATGCAGAGCCGACCGTGAACAGGATACTGTGCGAATTCTGTCTGCATGTGGGCTGATTCAGTGTTAAAGCTGCTGTAGGTAACTTTTGTAAAAAAAAAAAGTATTTTTATAGATATATACTTATAGAAAGGGTGCAACATTATAAAGTTACATTACATGTATTGCAAAATGTGTAATGATTTGAGGACCAAGTTTGTAGTCAAAAGCCCTATTCGCACGGGATTAGTACTATCTGGGGACCACGTGTGAGTTAGAAATTAGTGGCGCGCATGAAACAAAAACCTTGAAAAAATTATGTACGATCCCGCCAAATCACAGAGATGCCGATTCGCGCGGGACTAATATTACCACAGGACCTCGGTGTTCGGCGAAATATGGAGTCATTTGCGGGGGAATTTTTACTTTACAAATTACAGACATGGTCAATTCGCAAATGACTAGAGGTCACCAGGTAATACTAATCCCGTGCGAATAGGGCTAAAGTATGGGCAGGCACATGGGCGTCAGTTTGGTTTGAAATGTGCTGGGGACAGAGACGCATTCGGAAGTGCATTTTCAAAAGTGCTGGGTACAATGACACATTCATTTTTTTTCTCTTTCACGCAGGTCATGTTTTGAAAGACGATGTCCTGTAGCTTAGGCCTACTGATGTAAATAAATAAAAATGTATACAAAGATGTGATGATGTCCGACCAAAAATGTGATGGGTGGGGGGGTTAATTTCACGAATGTTCGTACTGTAATGGTCCAGTGGCAGAATTTTTGCCAAGCGTGTCGGAGGTTATGTGTTCTAATCCGCACTCGAATAGTTTTTTTTTCCCCTCATAAAAACCGATAATGTTTATCAGTGGTTGTATATCAAGCAGGGAAGCGTTTGTTTGCATTTTGTTTTGCGATTTCACCGGAACGAATAGAGAATCTCCGCAACGGATTGAAGCGCGCGTCCGAGTGAAGACATTGCGGCGCGGGCGCGAGCCACAACAGAACACTGTATCCGCGCCACTGATCGCAGAGGCAACGAGCACATGATCACTTGATTAAAAAACAACACATGTTAGCGCTAGATCGCCTCTTATTTAACAAACGAACTAAACGAATGCTCTGCTAGTTAACTGGAGATGTTTTACTTGTATTTGTACATCCGTACCGCAAGATGTTTCAAAAGTGGTGGGGACAAAATCGACCCTGGCAAATAGTGGTGGGGACATGTCCCCCCCAACCCCCCCGTAAATGACGCCTATATGTAAAGCATATTGTTGATGTTTCGTCCCTACTAGTGAATGTGCCATAACTGGTTATCCGCCGTCATCGGTGGGCCTGCTTACTAGCCTGCGCGTTCACGGTAGGCTCCGCTGTGGAGGGAGGGCTGTAGCGCAGCAGAGAGCAAGGGGGTGGGACCTGTAAGTTGTGCTTGTTCAAATTTTCAGGCTAAGTCAACGTTTTCTCAAAACTCCCTACTGCAGCTTTAATGTATGGTAGACTAGCACTAAAGAATATAGAAACAAATTCACAAGCGTGGTTGAAGACATAATTTCTTCATACTAATTCAGTGCTTTCTTTGCACAGACATGGCCTGAGTGTTCTATCCCTAGAGAGGATGGAATCGAAATGAAGAAAATGTCAACCAATTATTTTACTTTAAACTAGTAAAATTACAATACTTATGTCTTCATATATCCAGTTGAGTTAAACTCTCAAGCTTTATTTTGACAGAAAACTGCACGGAATCCTTTTTAGTTTTAGAGACAACAGGTTTATTTTTTTATTTTTTATATATAGCTAATAAAATTAGTATTTAATTACTGGTGTTCATATTATAATCACATGTTAATGCTGTCTAGTTCATATTTTCAGTTTTATTTAACCTGGGACATGTTGCGTAGTGGTGATTATATGCATGTGACCTGAGTTTGACTCTAGCCTTTCCCTATTGCACCCCCTAGTCATCAACCTGTCATTTCCTGTCACTTCTTCACTTTCCTATGAAATTACAGGCAATACAAGAATAATTTCACTGTTGGGTAAAAGCCAAGGCAGACCTTGCGACATCAACTATGCTTTGTGTGATGCATTTCTTAGCGAATTACATCGTTGACTCAACATTTACCAGTCCGTGTCCGTTCTTCTGACATCCCCATTAAAATTACACTGTGCAAACCCAATCATGCTTTTGCACAAATGCTGTAAATCCATTGCCTAAAAAAAAAAAGAAAGAGTTGTGACCTGGTAAAAAATTGTCCCTATTTTCCTGAGCAAATGTGAAGTCATTTTGATTGAACAATTATAACTAGGGCTGGTGCACCAATATAAAAAGTCTGTCTGACACAGATAAGCCAATAATTATTTTAATTTGATGGCAAATAACCAATAAATGACTTTTATTTATTTTCTCATAATAAA